TGCCCAAATGCAGACCGAAAACAGGACAACTATTAAGCCTCAAACGTCATCAACATGAGTTCCCGCTCACATAGAGGAAACGTCTAAACTTCGCCATTGAGCCAATATACTTGCCCACTTTGGAAATAATAACTGCAGTAGAATCCACCAGTTTCCTTAGTAATCGAATCGAAGCAGAAGAATTCAAAAGGAAAATGAGAGAACAGCTAGATCGAGAACTAGTTCCAACATCAGCAATGAAGAACGGCCTACGTAGAGAGGACAAAGTGGGTTAGGAGACGATGAACCACGCTTTTATACAAATGTTCATTAAAAATGAACAAATGTCAGTCAAACCTTTTTTTTAAATTTTTCAATGTGGATTGATTCCTGAAAAAATATATTTTGATACAATATGGCCTTTTACATCCATCTATCGTGATGAATGGCACCAGGTACTTTGAAAAAAGTGTTATTTTGGGGTGTACGTCCTGAAGCATTACACGAAAGTTCAAAGTATCAAAATGAAATAGATTGTAACAAACCAAATCAACAAAATCCGTGGGGAGATCACGGTCACTGCCAAATCCCGTACTATCACAGTAAAAGGACCTAGAGGCACTTTAAATCGCCCTTTCAAACATTTGGTTTTGGATATTCGTAAGGTCAACCACAGAACCTTGAGTGTAGAGAAATGGTTTGGGACGAAAAAGGAATTGGCTGCCGCCAGGACAGTATGTTCCCACGTAGAAATTATGTTGAAAGGAGTTACGAAAGGTTACCAATACAAAATGAGGGCCGTATATGCTCATTTTCCCATCAACTATGTAACCACAGAAAACAATGTCATTATTGAAATCAGGAATTTCTTGGCTGAAAATTATATCAATAGAGTCAAAATGGCTCCAGATGTAACGATCACCAACTCCCAGGAGCAGAAGGATGAACTTATCTTCGAAGGAAACTCTTTGAAAAATGTATCCCGATCTACTGCACTCATCCAACTGTCTACAACTGTCGAAAATAAGGATATTCGTAAATTTTTAGATGGTTGTACGTTTCTGAGAAAACAACTGTTGTTCAAGAGAAGTAACTTTTGTTTACAACAAAAAATAGGGAGTCCCGCAGGCCTTACAACGAAAATATTTTTTCACCTTTAACCTTTTGATCACTTTAATGGAAATACACCAGTTATGAAAGATATATTGATTGCATCTACTATACCTGATTAATTAAGTAACTGTTTTCTTATGTGATACGTACATTTCTGGAATATGCAAATCAGCCATGTATCATTAATGCCGTCTATTCGACTCATGGGTACTGAAACACAATCGTTTCCATATGTGGGTCATGCATGTCATTCAACAATGAAGCGTTGGCTTTCATGGTTTCATCTCTCTACAACCAATGGAAATCGCCCGGGAAAGCTCCCCAACTTGGAAAGATCATTAATTTCGAACGTTATTAAACATTAACACTCTCAGAAATAACACGAACAGCGCTAATGTAGCTATAAAGATGAGTTTTTACAAGAGAGTAATATTTCGACCCGGTCTCCGCATCACATAAGACCGTTCCAGTTCGCATTTTTTGCAGTACTTTCAAATCCCAAGTATTCATTTATCATTGCAGGCGAAAGTTTTTACACAACGTGAAGTTTATGTGGGAATTATGTACCCGTTACGGTACGGGGCATTTGCGCTGGAATTTGATGAATTAACCTTATCAGCAAGGCTTATAAGTAGAGGACCATATGAGAAAGAAGTCAGTCAACGTGGCAAAGTAATTATAATGTTCCAAGCTCAGAGCCGAATTAGGCAATTCAGTTTTTGATTAAATGTCATTGGTTATTTCAAACCAATCTATCTTCTCATTCAAGTATCAGGCAGTTTTTTATTTAAATGCATTTTCTATTTTTCTACAGGCAACTAGATGCCTATGAGAGTGTGGAAATAAGTAAACATAATAATATTATGAATAACGACAACGGACCAATACCAGATACAGATACAGGGATACGGATGATGATATACCTGTAGCCAACTTTTTATCGCCAGTCGATGGAGTTCTCAATACCGATGTAATCCATTGGACTTAATCGTTAGATCACGTAGTTGTACCAGTTCAGTTCGAAAAACCTTCTGGACCTAATATTCCTGATCACCTGGATAGTCCTGCCAACATTTTCAGTCATTTGTTCACACCGACGAACTTCTGCATCAAATCGTCTTTGAAACTAACTTCTATTCTACACAGGAAAATGTTTTGAACTCACAAAATTCTACTACATATGAAGAAATAAAATGTTTCATTGGGATGAATTTGCTCATGGGGATAAAAAAGTTGCCAAGCTACAAGGATTATTGGTCTTCTAGGCTGTAAATGCGTGGGGGCAAGCTAATTATGACAAACTCAATAAACTCATGCCCATGCTTGAAACATTGTCAACAACATATTCGGAATCCTACAAATCTTCAAAATGCCAAAGTATAGATGAATCTATGATAAGTTTCAAAGGTAGATGCTCATTTCGCCAGTATATGCCGAAAAAACCAATAAAAAGAGGATGCAAAATTTGGGTACGAGCAAATGAATCCGGTTGTGTTTCACAGTTCCGGATATATACAGGTTGTATTGTTTTTTGGCTTATATGAACTGCTTACTAATCAATTTTTTATAGGGAAAACGAATGAAAAGAGTGAACAAGGCTTAGGAACTTGAGTGGTGATAGACTTGACCAGAGAGCTGGTAGGTGTATATCATGAAGTCTACGTTGATAATTTCTTCAATTCAGTTACTCTGCAAAAAAAATTGCAAATTGAAGGAATCTATTGCTGTGGAACAGCGAGAAGAGATAGAAAGGGATTTCCTAAAGATTTTCCAGCAGATAAAACAATGAAAAGGGGTGATCATGATTGGGCGTATTACTGATAGTGGCATTGTAGCCCTGAAATGGAATGATAATAAACCGTTAATTTGATCAGTAACTTTCACAACCCTCAGGATATTAAAGAGGTATCAAGAAAGCAAAAAGACGGCTCTCGCCTAGAGATTCAATGCCTGAAAATGGTGATAGATTATAATAAGAATGTGGGTTTCGTAGACCTAAGCGATATGTACAAGTCATGTTATGAGATCGATAGGAAATCTAAAAAATGGTGGCACCGGATTTTTTGGCATTTTGTCGATGTGACTGTTGTAAACGCATTTCTCCTTTTCAAATGAAGAGTCAGTGCAGAAGGAAAAAACCTAAGTTTGAAAGAGTTCAGAGTATCAGTAGCTATGGGTCTTATCGGTGCCGATCCTGAAAATCCTCAAAAAGGTCGAAGAAGTGTTGAGGGTGCAGTGAATGGATTTAAAATTCATGTTCCATTGGAAATCCGTACTGACAAAGCAGCACATGCTGCTTTGTCACCACTGCATGGTGATAAAGTTAGATGTTCACACTGCAGCACAAGAAAATAACCTCACAGAACAAGATGGCACTGTTTTTCATGTAATGTTGGACTTTGCCTTCAAGATATGAGAAACTGTCTTGCTGCCTTTCAAAAGAAATGAAGTTATCATAATTATTTCATGAACCATGTTGAGATTTATTTTTTGAGAATGAATTATTTTCAGTCAGCAATTTTTTTGTAGCTCCGGTAGTTTCGTGGTGAAACCACCTGTTTACAAAAAAATTGAAGGTGAAAACATTTTTTATCGTGAATTTTCCAGTTCAAACATTGATTATGATCACAATCATTCACAAAAAAATGACATAATCTTAAAAAAAATAATTTAGGCCACAAAGGGTTGAAACCAATCAGGATTGCCGTTGACGTCATTCAGCTCATGAGACGTTTTTTTTTTGGTCAAATTCAGCAATTTCAGAACGAATTTCACTGCCACACGCTTCATGCCCAAAATTGCATGTCATGGGTCAACCAATATGGCGCCATCCTCAGCAACTTCTCTAATAGTGATTTGACGAATCTCCATAACAATTTTCTTCACTTTCTCAACATTTTCATCTGTTGATGTGCGTCGTCATTCACATCTTCTTGACTTTCTGTAAGGAGCGTGCTCCATTTGTACACATTTTGCTAACCCTGAGTACAATCATCGTATGGTACTGTCAATGTTTCAATTATTTTTGAGCACTCAATTTCATTTTCTACCAATCTAGTTAGCAGAAAGTCGTCGAACACGTGAAACACTTCTAACTTTTTAGTGTATCAGTAATGGAAAATAAAAGTATGATCCTCAAATCTTCACATACAGAATCACGTGTGACAAAAATACTAATAAGAAACCCAAAAATGTTTCAATTACTCTCAACTCCTGTACATCATTCAAATCCTTTTACCTACGTCCCTTTATCGAAGAGGAAATTATCATCTGAAAACAAAAAAGACGCAAGATATATATGGTATCAGCACTTATTTGCTCAAACAATGCGCATCGCTAATCCTTGAACCACTTACCATCATAATAAATAAATGTCTTTCTGATAGTTTTTTTTCCATCAGTGTTTAAACCAGCCTAAGTTCAAGCTATATTCAAGAAGGGAGATGAAAAATTACCAGAGAATTACAAACAAATTCACATATTGCCCACCCTATCCAAAGTAATGGAGAAAGCTATTTCAATACAGTTTAGTAACTACATTAAAAGCCATAATTTCTTACGTAATTATCAGTTTGGGTTTAGGAAAGTTAAAAGTGCCATAGACGCTATAAACAAATTAGCTGATAACATTATTGAAGCTTTTTAAAATAAACAATCCTGTTTAACTATCTTCACAGATCTGTCGAAGGCTTTCGATTGTGTCAGTCATGATAAACTGTTGGAGAAATTAGAATGGTATGGTATAAGAGGAATTCCCAATAAAATAATTGAATCATATTATTCATATAATGATTTCATTATCTCAAATTTAAATTTTTTGAGTTGATCCGTTCACGAATTGAAATGGAGGGGGGGGCATTATTAAAGAAATGCACTGTATGTTCTACTCTTGATAAGAAATGACTAACCTTATATTTTCCCAAATTGTTGACAGTGCAAGTCAAAACTGCTTCTCTGCTAGCTGCCATAGTTACATTTTGTATGGGAGTAACAAAATCTGGTTCGCTCGATAGTCTTGAAGTTTTCCAGTCTTCTGAAAAAAAATATATATATGATGTTGATACACTTATGGAAATGATGAAAAATATTCAAGAAATCATAGTTTTTTGGTAAGTTTAGTACAATTTCATTACATTCTATTCTTTTTTATTTCATTTTATTCAGATTTATCAGTCACCGCTTTTTTCCATCTATACACCTTATTCATAAATTGAATAGTCTCTTACTATCGGGAAGAATCTCGTCAAATCATCCGAATGACAATTCCCATGCAATGAAAATTGTTGAACAAGCATTCGATTCTTGATAATCTTTTATTTTGTACACCTGATCTAACTCTAATTCTCTGGAGAATTTATTTCCGGCTCAGTCGTTTCCTTATAAATATAAAAACAACTTCTAATTGCTACAACCGAACATAGCTGATAGATTTATAAATTGAATTTCTGGTAGACACACGCTTCCTTTTCTCATTGTCAGTTTTCATAGTGGAAGGTAAAATCTAATATATTTCCTATTAGGATGATTCAATTTCTAGCAGGAAAACTGGAGTCGTATATGAAATTTTTCTGCTATTCCAGAATCCATTCATTACATGCTTCCCAAAACAATATGTTTATAATCGTTTTCAAGAAATTGGTAACAAAGAATGAAACATTTTATTTCGATGTTCTTGTAAAGCGTGTTTTTAGTTTTTTAACCTTTTGTAGGCAGTTGGTTCCTGCTCACTTTTGGACTCAATGGATTTTTGCTTCATGTTGACGAATAACCCAAATGGTACTAACGAAATAGTAACAGAAATTTGAAGGAACACTAGAATATTAACGTTCAAACATTCTTTTTGCTGTGCTATTTTCTGCTATCAAAAAAAATGGATCGAAGAATTTGCATCAAATTTGTGTTAAACATGGAATTCACGAATTCCAAAAACACTTCATTGTGAGGTTTTTAAACAACACAAGTTTTGCCATATAATGGATTCTTCGGGTATGTATTTACTGTAAAACTGAAAAACTCTCGTAATGAAGTGTTTTTGAATACGTTAGTTATGGATTTTCATCAAGTATCGGCCAATTCTATCACATAATAATATATAATTAGGTGCTCAAAAACACTTGAAATGTTGACAGTGTCAGACAGTGATTATACTGTCAGTTCAGTATAATCTTTCTCTTGAAGATGATAGCTTGGTGATTGAAACACTTGTTGAAGTGTTCAAAATGATGATTTGGTGTTGGAATGAAACTTCAATAATATTGATTACTACAACAAAGGTTCCAAACAGTGCATTAGAAATACGAGGTCTGACTATTGAATAATGAAACCGCGAGCCAAGAGGGCGTTCTAGTAGCAGGGGAGCCCACGATGCAAAATGGGGATTTACTCGAGCGTCATTGAGACCTATTAGGTTGCAAAGCTTAGATGATAAGAAGAAAAACATTTTATATAATATATACCTTTTCATCGGTGGGGGAAGCTGCTATAGATTAATAACTACGTAAAAAAAACTGTTGCATGGACATACTCGAACGCGTCAGATATTGATACCATCAATGTCTTACGTATTTTTGGTAATGTTGGTATGTTAATCTGATCGTTTGCATGATGTGGGTGCTTGTACGTTTGAAATGTTGCAAAAGGCATACGGGGATAATTCTCTATCTCATGCGCGTATTTTTGGGTGGTGTAAGGGCCTTAGTAACGGTTTAGATAGCACTGAAGATAACCAGCGCCCAGGTTGTCCTGTCAGTGTTTCAACTCCAGGAACAGTGACCAAAATCTACCAAATTTTTCGTGTGGATCGTCGAATGAGCATCCGGAGAATTGCCGTGGCGGTAAACGCCGATAAAGGAATGGTTAGAAACATTTTACACCAGGAATTACACATGAAAGAAGTCTATACAAAGTTGGTGCCAAAAAACTTGACTCCTGACCAAAAGCTTTTGCGTCAACAGGTCTGCTCAGATTTTCTTGAAAGGTTGAAAGAAGATCCCAGACTGATGAAAAACATAATTACTTGTGGCGAAACATGGATTTTCCAATGCGATGTTAAAGCAAAGCGGCAATCGATGCATTTGACGACGCCTGAATTGCCCAGAATCAAAAAAGCAAGAATGTCCAAATCAAAATTCGAGGCAATATTGATCGTTTTTTTCGACATTAAGGGTATCGTGATGACTAAACGGGTTCCAGAGGGTTACATTGTCAACCAGACTTACTATTTGTCAGTTTTGGCAACACTGCAAGAACGAGTTCGTAAGAAACGGCCCGAGTTGTGGAAGAACAACTCGTGGACAACACATCTGCCATTAACGAGCTATCTGTGGAGCGGTATTTGCCTGATAAACGCACTATAGTGCTCAAACACGCACCTTATCTGCCAGATTTGGCACCGTGCGACTTTTTTTTGTTTCCGAAGATAGAATCTGCTTTGAAATGGACCCGATTTCAGTCGATGGAAGCGGTAAAGCAAAGAAGACTTCCCGCACTGCTTCGATCAATGGAAAAAACTTATGGAAAGGTGTGTGGCGAGGATAGGGGAGTATTATGAAGGGAAGCATTCGAATGTAGAATAATTTCAATAATGGAACCCGTTTTCGTGACCAGTCGTGTTATTTAATAGCCGGACCTCGTACTGTCATTTGCAGAGTCGGTTTCTGATATCGAGCGCTAAATGAGAAATCAAATTTTGGCTTGATCGACAGCTTTTACTGCAAACAGACAACTGGATAATACCAAAGCTCAAAACCATTCACTATATGATCGAAAATCGGAAATCGCTGTCTTAAACTGGTGAAGGAAGTTTGAGTATTGTGTTGTTCTCGAAACATTACCTCTTCGTTAGAGGAATTTACACGATAATTTCCCAATCGTGGTTGTTAACCAGAACAGAATGAGCTCAAATATTGCTTCAATATTCCAATCTACTACCATGTTGATATATCGAAACAGGGTGTCTAATTATGCATGCAAGGATTTAGGGTTCTGATTTCATCATTAATTCTAATAAGACGAATTATTCCAGAAGTATAATTTTTGATATGTTGACAGGTGTTGACTCTTCCACTCATATCTCAACGTTGCTAATTCGGTTAGAGAAATGCACGTTTGACAGATAGTACTCTCATTTTGGTTTGTTGGAGACATTTTTCAAGAAATTTTTGAATATTTTATAGTTTTGAGCTTTTTAGAACTGAAGAAATGAACTGAATTTAAAAGTATCTGTATCTGTAGTGTAGGGAGTGTAGTGTAGTGTGGCCCATTGTGCATCCTCCTGAGGAGTTGTCCTTCTAGGTCATCGTCCATCCTTTTCTTTCCAGGAAGGTAGACAGGACACTAGGAGACATCTCCTTTATATTGGCAGGTGTAGGTTAAGACTCGCCTTATACAGACTCTCTTTGGCAACCTCGAGGTGTCTCACGGTAGCCTTCGCGAAGGTTTTAGAAGGTGCAGCAACATTACAGTCATTGCGCGGCTTCTTCAACCTTCTTGGTTCCCTCCGTGGAGGTGCACAAGTGAGGGAGCGTTCCTGCAGGAGTAGCCGGTTCCTTGCCTTTATTCAAGGCGGAGCTTTTGGCGCCCGCCGCAGGAAGTGCCCTTGCTGTTGAAGGTGGAGTGGGGGAGAAGTAGGGTGCACTTATAGTTGCTGCCACGTCTGCCTCCTTCGCTCTCTTTCTCCTTTTGGCCTCGGTGCCGCAAATGCGCTAACACCTTGGCCTTGGTATTACATTGCGAGGTGATCAGCTATGTCCAGCCTCATTCCAAGTTGTAGATTGGGGTGGACATTTCTGTTCATCCTCAGCCACCACCTTAAATTGAGGTTAGCACTTCTGTCCAGCTTCGGGATTGGTTTTTGTATTTGTTGTTTCTGTTTTTGTGTTTAATTCCATTCATGTGTTTTCCCACGAGTAGCAAGGGAAGAGTTGGTCACCTTTGGCAGAGCCCCGCATTACCAGAGGTAGGCTGATTACAATGAGGTTTCGCTCAGTTTCCTAAGGATATCGTTCTTAACCGCATATAACCATGCGACAATTCAGCTGTCGGCACGATTACTCACACCTTAGCTTGGGTAGGCTTTTGGGCAGTTTTAGTTCCCCTCATCCTACTTATTTCTATCACTGACCAGAAGTCCATCGACCCCGTCCGTAAGACCACATTGGCTTCCCGGACAGGGCCTCCGTCACCTGGGGACGCGCCCGATAGGTAGCCCAACCCACAGGCAATTCAGAAGTAGAAGTTGTTTGAATTTTTTTCATAATCCCACTATATATCATTCCTTACATTCAAATTGAACCAAAATGCTATCGAAACAGCACGAAAAATTTGTGAACGACTTTCGACGCTGGTTTGCGAAATTTCGTTTCGGAGATTTCAGCCTCGAATATGAGCCTGGAAGTAGTGAAACTACAGTTATAAAGGACGAGGATTTGAGGACCCTCGTAGGACCAGACCCATCAGACACGGTGCGTGGGAAAACGGTAGAATTGAGCATTAGCTCCCGTGTGATTCTGGATGATCTGGAACATTATGGAAAGGTCATGTTTCTAGGTCTGCCTTTTTTTGCTTTTGCGCAACCAGAACAAACCTTTTTTGAAACGGATCGTAATGTGTGATGAAAAGTGGATTCTCTACGACAACAGGAGACGTTTAGGACAGCGATTGGATACTGATGATCTACCCCGGCACTTCCTAAAGATGGAAACCCACCAAAAATATAATGGTTTCTGTATGGTAGCCAGCTGCTAGTGTAATTCATTATTAGTTTCAGTTAAGTTCGGTTGTTATTATTCCACAAAAGTGGCACTATCAATGAAAGTTTGTCTTCACTTTCCTCAAAGTTCTTCAGCTTTGCAAATCTAGCTGTGCCTATGAATATTATGTGTGCAGATGAGCCGGCGGAGTAGGGCGAGAGCTCACTAACATAGAGGAACTCGTGTAGTGAACATCATCTTAGTACAGTAAGTTGGGCAATTATGTGCCGTAAACTGGTGTTTGGATTTTTTCGAAACAGTTTACTAAGGAACAAGGTTCTCA